GGGATGTGGGTAGAATTATGCATTAATTGGATGAGTGAACTGCAAGTCATTAACGCATGTTTAGAAGCCTTCATAAGGTTTACTAGGTAGGTTTAAATTTGAAAGCATTTATTTTTTTCTTATTTTATTTATTTTAATATCATTTTTCTAAAGACGTCCACTGCTGGACATAGGCCGCCCTAAAGTTCGTTGCACGATTCTCATATCGCCGTCCTCACAGACACGAAATCTAATTATTATATAAATTTAACATATTTATTTTGATAAAATTAGCGATGCGATGGCGTAGTGGTTTAAGCGGTCACCTCGCCTCTTTCTACTCCGCTGAGTGTTGTGGGTCCGATCCCCACATGGGACAACACTTAGTGTGATCCACAAATTGTTGTTCTGAGTCTGGGTGTTCTTTGTGTCCGTTTCATGTATGTTTGGAAAGTCCCCTGCGACACACGATATATTCCTAATGAGGGAGTTGTCTTTTAAATAAGAAAAGTAAAGAAATGACAATGTGACATATCTTAGAAATATTTTAATAAACATAATAAATTCAAACCTCACACACGGCCGTCTGATCTCAAACGAGGCAGAGCCTGTACTATGGTACCCAGACCCATAAATAATACCTATATATAAATTACAATTAAAGGCAGAAAAACGATCGTGTTCATTACGCCCCTTAGAAATCGAACCCACGATTTCACGCTTAGCAGCCAAGATCACTAACCACTGGACAAACAGGTCAATCAAAATTGTAGTAGTAATTTAAAAAAGTAGCATTTAACTGCTAAGTTTAGTGCGACTAAGGGGGCAAACTACGCAGAACAACAGCACTGCAAAGAGAAGGAAAACTTGACACATACCATATACCAACCCGCCTGGCCAGCGTGGTATAGTAGGCCAAAACCACCTTTCTAAGTAGAGGCATTTGTCCAGCAGTGGACTATAAAGGATGTTAATGTAATCTGATGGAGTAGGGATTTTATAAACCGACTTCAAAACAAAGGAGGAACTCAATTAGGTGTCTTTTTGTATGTTTGTTACCTCAGAACTCCGTCATTTATGATCTGATGTTAATTGTTTTGGTAAAATCGTAAACAGTCGTAAATCATTTTAATGTCTGCGTTTTAAGTCTCTTCTCAATTAGGTGATTTATATACCTAAGTGGATAACTAGAGATAGCTTACAGATAGCCTGGTCCCAAACTAAACAGAGTCATAATAAACATACTTAACGTGCATGTTAGTCCAGTGTTTAGTGACCCTGATATTTGTTTGTTGTAGAAATCTAGCCTCTTAAATGAAAGGCATCTTTTAACTTCGCTGATAGAAGGTCGTCTTGACATTTGATGTGTCTGTGAAGACACGCGCTATATCTACGTGTACGAGTATATCATCAACAGCCTTTAACAGTCCACTGCTGGATATAGCCTCTCCTTAGAAAGGAGGTTTTGGCCTACTATACCACGCTGGCCAGACGGGTTGGTATAGGGTTTGTGTCAAGTTTTCCTTCTCTCTGCAGTGCTGTTGTCCTGCGTAGTTCGCTCCCTTAGTCGCCTCTTACGACACCCACGGGATGAATAGGGGTGGTGACACTCTGTATTCCTAATCCGTCACCACACGGATATATAACGACGAGGACGAGTATATAAATACTAGTATTAGGTAATATCTATTCTGTAAATAATTAAGCAATTAATTTAATAACAAATGACTGACCTGTTGGTCTACTGTTTAGTGAAAATGACTTCTAAAAACGAGGTCATCGGTTCGATTCCTACCTAGACAAAATTATTCTGTGAAGACCACCACCGTTTGTTCTGTGTCTGGATGTTATTTATCTATAATATGTATGTATTTAGAAATATATAAGTATGTTTATCAGCAGTCTGGTTACCATAGTGCAGACTCGGCCTAGATTGGGATCAGACGGCCGTGTGTAGGAATTTAGTGGCGACCGATTGCACACAAATTTTTTCGGCGATTTCATAGCTTTGATAGTCTGTCTAAGAATATCAGAGGCGTATAGTAATAATTATAAAAATAAATTAAAGAAATGTACCTATACAGTTCATAAATAAATATCGTTGAAATTAATCAGTTGATGATGATTCATAATCATCAGCGTCAACGGCCTTTAATATGTCACTTTTCCCGCGTTTCAAATGAAAAATCTAAATTTAGAGTTTCAGTATCAACGTATATTTTTTTTGTTGACGGGGTTTAAAATCCCTTTTGATCTCCTGCTCCTCGGGGACTCAGGAGCCAGGAGTATGTGGTGACTCCACTAAAAACCACCCCGACGGCTTCAGGTATTCTGGAAGGACCCGGACCATGTTATTTTAGGTCCTCCCCGAATTGACACCATGCCTAACAAGGCTCTATCCCAAGGGAAAAACACTTCCCCAAAATATAAAAAATATATTTATTTAGTTACTACGTAATTTATCCCCAATATGGACATAATTTTGCACCTGTACTTACGTACCCGTATAAGTAATTACCAGGACCATATAAACGGGGAGGAGGTTAACAAGCAGGTATAATTATTTACACATTTTATGTAAATGGTTGCATCATGTAGGTTTCATGTTACGTCAAAATGTACCCTTTCTTATCTATGCATGTATTTTCGTTGCTTACGGTGTTTTATTCAAATTACCTACAACGTGTTTCGATGTTCTCAACTACCATCAACATTTTATGTTATCCTGGTATTTTTCACCGACACTGAATACAAGTGTCATTTCCCACCGAACACATTAACATTCCTGCTCGTCTCCGGAAACGCATCTGTTGAATATAAACTAATATAAAATATTCAACAGAGTGGCATCATGTACATGTATAAGCAGTGTAAGGGACCATGTGGCTATTTAGGTTTGTCTTTCAAACATAGTTGGAGAAAATGGAGGAAAAATATTACAATATAACACAATATACAAAGTATTCAAAAGTAGGCCAGTATTCAAAAGGCCAACCCAGGCCCTATACTGCACTCACATAGTTCTGTTTAACATTGTATACGGACTTAAAAAAAAATACACCTCTGTGGTTTGTTCGTCGTTTCTTCCCAGAGTGAGTTAGGAAATGCCGGCGCTTTCTTGCTGTAAAGTTCGACTTGTAAAAATATCTGAATAAATTTACTTGATCTGTCTATATAAATTTTAAAGGTAGAGATTACAGAAAGTAATTCTTTGTTTAAATAAAAAAAATAACACGGGTGCACAGACAGTATTTTTTTTAAATATGATGGTTTGGCTGCCTTCTCTGTTTCAACCACATTTATTACTGGATCTTTTTGATCATCTGTGACAATATGATCCCTTATTTATCAACCTATTCATCAAGGTTTTTATGTGGATGCTGTATTTGTCCAGCCAGTTCGTACGGTACCTATTTTCAGATCCTTTTTAAGAAAGAAAATATTTCAGTTTTATCATTGACCCTGAGATTGCTTTAAATATATGGATTTCATTAACTAAACAATTTGCTTTTGCTATGATTTTTTTATGACGCAGTTACGTAGATACTTTAGTTAGCGTTGAAATCCAAAGTTCCAAAGTGTAAATTATTAATCCAAAACCGGCCAAATGCGAGTCGGACTCGCGCACGAATGGTTCGGTACCATTGTCTATAAAAACGGCGAAAAAATCATGTCTGTTGTATGGGAACCAAACTTAAATATTTATTTTATACTGTTTTTAGTATTTGTTGTTATAGCGGCAACAGAAATACAATATCTGTGAAAATTTCAACTGTCTATCACGGTTCATGAGATACAGCCTCGTGACAGACGGACGGAAGAACAGCGTAGTCTTAGTAATAGGATCCCGATTTACGATTTTGGGTACGGAACCCTAAAAACGGGCCGGGAGTTTACAGACGGCATGTCCTCGTCCATCATGTCGTTAAAATTGCTTGACTTCTGTGCATATGAAAAAGTTTTGTTAAGAAGTAGATAGTTACCGTAATAAATACTTATTTTTAGTTATGATCTTTGTTATTTGACTAAAGCAGCGATAGTCACACGTTACTAATAGTGTTAGTTAGTAGTAATAGTTTTAATTTTTTATCAAATTAATTTCTTAATCATCATGATTTCTTAATAATCTCTAATAGTCCCATCTTGTTAAGATGGCGAAGTGTTCGACTCCCTAATTCGTGTATCAGTTGGTGGCACTCTCTGTTGTGGTACAGACGGCTGACCGCCATTTTGGTCATTGTTTGAACTCATGAGGTCAAAATTTCACCACAAATCACCCATCAAATCACATATACCTCACTAATTATTAATGTGTAACATCTTTCCTCTCGCTTTCTTATTTGGTGGGATTGATTTCGTGAAAAGGGACGGAAATGTGTAACAGGATTCCGGGGAAGCGCACGCTATTTGATTTGAACAATGAGCGCTTGCGACGGTAGAGTTGACCTTCAGATGGTAGGTGGTATGTCTGATACACAACCTATGCGACCAGTCTGAGGCTCGTTCCATTTTATTAGAGAATTCTTTTCAGTAGAGAATACCCAATAAAAATTACTGATTGTTGGAAATTAAAAAGCATATGTACCTGAGTTGACAAAAACAAAAATAATAATTTTAAAGTGCATTAAATTTTGTTTACGTTAATTAGAATGCTTTAGTAGCATACCCTAACCTAATAATTGACATATCGTGTGAAATTCTGCATTCCAAAAACTAAGCATGATATCAATTGGCCTGTTAGTTAGTCTTTGATTTAAGCACACCTCAAAAGGTGAACAAGGTGAACAAGGTGAAGTCTTAAAAAATAAACTCCTCGTTGATCCCCACATTTCCAAAATAACAATGAAAAGGGCGATTGTCCACAGTTGATAATAATACACTGTCCAACACTACGTTACTATCCTAAACTTTGTAGCGACTTAAAAACTTCCATGATAGAATATTATTAAGCAGCGTTGGTAAATTAAACTCAATAACAAACACGACAAAATGTTATAATGATAATTCTATTTTTTTTTCAGCGCCAGTCTCAATGGAGAGTATGATGGTCGGCGGTGTAGGCGTCGGGGGAGTAGGCACTGTAGGAGGTGGAGTGTCATCAGTTGGTGGGTTTCAGCTGGTTCGAGAACCCACTTCAGGAGCGCTGCTTCTGTTGCCTGCTCCACCAGAACTGCAGCCTGCTGTCGTCTGGGGCGGAGTTCCATATTCGTCAGCGCCTTTACTGTTACCCCCGGCGCCGCATCATTCACATCATCTCCAACTACTATCCGGCGACCTTCTTGCCTCAACTGCGACGTTGCAACATACCCACACGCATTCTACGCGCCTAGTAACACTTGCGCCAGCACCTGCGCCACAACCCCATCCTGCACATACGGCAGACAAAAGAAAACCAATCATGCACCCTCTAATCACCCCTCATTTAATCAAAATTGAACCAGAACCGCCGCAAGAAAAACCACAACACTCATACGTACCCGAACCAGTGCCGCAACCGATGCTTGCGACGCACCTTTATTACCAACCTGATTTCGCGGAACAGCAACAAGTGTGCAGGAGTCAAGCCACGTCGCCCGCCACACCGCCCACACCACCTCCTGAAGCGCCAGAGGCTCCTGCACATAAAGACGCATCTAACCAAACAGATCATATAGATGACGAGGACGAGTCGCCGAACCATGCTGATGAAGATGAAAGAGATGTAGCCTGTATTGGAGTTGCGCATTACCCTGAAGAAAATATGATGTCCATGCAAACTCAGACACAGTTATTACAGCCTCCTTCTATAGATTCAACTGAAGATTCTTCATCAGAGTGTCTCGCAAATTCGGTAGTAGGTGCAGTGGAAAAAGCTATCGATACGATGGAAAGAGATGATTCATTAGGGGATACTTCTAGTAGCGTGGGATCCAACGATCTAATGATAGACACGGCGCGATCGACACCAATAACTCACACTACAACACCACAGCCTAGGCTGCCCGTAGATGTCAGTGGTTTAGAACTACTGTCAAATAGTATTGAACAGTTTGAGCGCACTACACCTGGAACAAGTATGCCAGCAATAGATCCCACACCACTGACAATCGACACGAGGACACCCACAAAACTGAATATTTTGATAAAAACCTCACCCAAATCTCCTCCAAGAACAGAGGCAGAACCTCATAGAAGATTTGAATTTCCGCCTATGGATCCGAATAATGGCGAACAAACAAAACCTTCACTTGATGGTCTTGGTTTGTTGTGTGCTTTAGCCGAACAAAGGTTTATGGAGGAGGTAGAGGAAAGTCCTCCGACTGCTACGTCTGTATCAACCCGTCCTTTGATTAAAACCGAGCCCTTACTTAGTCCAACCGAAAGAAGTCGATCAGTGGAATCATCAATTAATAAAAAAGACAGACACAGAAACAGAGATGGCGACTCATCCGGTGAGAGGAGGCGTAAACGTAGTCGGGATAGAGAAGAACGGTTAAGGCATAAAATTGAAAAGATGCGCCGACATAAACGCGAAAGAGAAAGAGATGAAAGCAGAAGTAGTGGTGGAGAATTAGAGACAAGCTTAAGACGCGTAACAGCTTGTCCATGTAATTCCATAACGTGCACACATACTCCTAACGTACGGTCGGCCCACGCCCTCGCTAGTGCAATAGAAAAAGACATGCGCGAGAGATTGTTAGATTTGGAAAGACAGTTTGATGAGAAAAAAGCACAACTGAAAGCGTTGAATCCACCGTTACAAACTCTATCATCTTCTACTACGCCATCTACACCTGCGTTATCACCAGATTCTGATAGGGGATCTTCTAAAAAACGAAAAGTCGGAAGACCGCGCAAGGTATCTAGTCCTGATTCTACAGAGACAATAGTAGCGAAGAAACCAAAATCTAAGAGCAGCCTTGTTGGCTATCTACTAGCGAAACAAAAGTTAAGTAAAAGTGGTGGTATTCTATGCTCACGAGGAGAACCTTCGAGGGAAGAGCCCAACAGGACAAGCAAAGTGCGTCCTAAGTTGAAAGCTGAACCCATTATGAAGGTTTGTTCGGAAGAAGATGAAAATGGCGAATGGGGCCTCAACCGATCAGCGAGCTCTTCCATGGAGAGTCTTAACGAAGTTAGACAGAAAAACAGAGAGAAAGTGGACCGACTAGCGAGAAAACATTCAAGAGATGATATTCCTGAACTTGAATTTGCGTTACGGCGCGCTAGTGTTTCCAGTGATAGTGAAAAGGAGAGGAGGCGGGCGAAAAAGAGACGAAAGAGTCATAGATCGAAAGACAAAACTGATGAGGAGGTTAAAGACAAACCAACAGAAGTAGTCCCACAACCCATATCGAGGTGTACATTGACAGAAGATAAGCTGGACTCTTCGCCTAGAGTACTTACAGCCAGGGGAGGTCTCTTCTATGCAGGCAAAGTGAGTGCGGTGCAGGCACCCGATGTCTATGCTATCACACTTGATGGCGAAAGGGGCAACAAGCCTCATATATTATCTAGAGAAGAAACCTTGAGAGATGCTGTAAGATCTCTTTAATTTTCAGAATATATTTGTAGAATTTATTTAAATTATATGCACAATATTTTCATGCTAACCTCGCCTTTTTTTTTACAGATTTTGGAAGTTAGCCCTACGTCAGTAGCAGAATTACCTTCTGGAACCAGGGTGTGTGCGTATTGGTCACAGCAATACAGGTGTCTTTATCCTGGCACCGTAGCGGTTTCATCCCCAGATCCTCACGATGATAAATTCGTCGCCGTGGAATTCGATGATGGCGACTCCGGGAGAATAGCCATCGAGGATATTAAGTTTCTGGAACCCAATTATCCTGTTGTTGGTAAGTATATCAGTGGATCCAAATCGTGTTACAATTTTACTTTAAGTGTCTGCCACATCATCATCATTAACAGCCTTTAGTAGTCCACTGCTGGACATAGGCCTCTCCTTAGAAAGAAGATTTTGGCCTACACGCCACGTATGGTTTATTTCAAGTTTTCCGTATCTTTGCATTGCTGTTGTTCTGCGTAGTTTGCATTGCTATTGTTCCCTTAGTCGACTCTTACACCTATGGAATGAATAGGAGTGGCGCCTAGACATGGAAACGATTGCTACTTTTAAATCATATTCATTTGATGAAATGATTGCTTATAGTCTCAGGATTTTCACATGTGATTGTGATTTCGTCATAGACAATGATAAATGGCATTAAAATCAATCGAAATTATTTTTATCAAAAAATACGACCCTTTTTTAGGTTTAGGCCTTTTGCGAATCTTGCGCTAGCGTAATAATGAAACACAGGTGTGTCGTAATGATTTATAAATCATATAATTTACCACATGTCATAACGATTTTATTCCCTCCTTAGTGGCCGCACTCCGTATTCTTAATCCGTCACCAGACGGATAAGCCCCATACATAATGTATAATATCGTTTCGTTTTCAGAATACGAAAATCCGTTATTCACACTTGGCAAAAGAAGAAGAAATACCAGTGTAAGCGCAGAAGAGAAGAAAAATCCTAATCCAGTTCCAACAACAAGTACAACAGATCCTAAACCGTCTACATCAGATATACCAGTAACGACACTTAAAGAGGATGAAGATAGAAAAGACAGAAAAAAATTGAAAAAACACCGTAAAGACAAAATAAAACGCCAGTCCAGCGAAGATGATCCCAACTCTGTAGAATATGTGAAGAAGAAAAAGAAAAAACATAAATGTTGCGAGGAACATTGTAAACACAGGAGACATCACAAGAAACACCATCGGAAACATAGAAAAAGGCATCATTCAAGCTGCAAAGAACATTCTAGTTCTTCCGGAGATGACCACCAAAGACATAAATCTTCATCGGACTATATAGACTCTAATAAGTCCAATGAAGATTCCGTGGATTCCAATGATAGGTTATCTACTCTAATCGCTATGGAGAAGTCTCCAGATGACAAAATGAAGACTGTTATAAAGAAGGCGGTTCTGTCTAAAAAGACATTGGTCAAGAACGCAGTCTTAGACTTCAGCAATTTGGGCAAAATCACTTTGAAAAAGGAGGAAGAACCTAAAGACAATTTAAAAGACAGCGGTATTGGCCTCGAGGAAGAGACTGCTGCAAAGAAGGTAATAATACAATAGCTATTAATTAGTTAGTTTAATCCTAATCAGAACGAATTAATAATAAGTACTGCCATTATTTTCTTAGCTGATATTTTCGAATGATTTGAAGTAGGACCGACGGAACGACCTACCTTTTTAATCCATAGACCGAACATTATTGGACGTAATTATGGTTACCCTGATCTTGATTGAATACCCTGACCCTTAATTATGATTGATAATAATATTTTATATTGTAACAATAGTCATATAAATGTTTTGATGTTTCAGAAGGCGAAACGCCGTACAGTATCGTCGACGTCGTCAGACGGTGGCTGCGGCGTGAGCAAGATGGCGGCGTTCCTGCCCGGCGGAGCGCTCTGGCACTGGCTCGGCGCCGCCTACAGGCGCACCGCGCGCCCGCGCCACAGGAAGCTGTTCTACAGGGCCATACAGCGGGGCGAGGAGACCCTATCGGTGAGTTGCTCTACGGTACAGACGGCCTAGTGTGAGTTTATTTCACATTTACTCAATCGTCACTGTGACCGCGTTTGGCCAGGTAGGGCGGGAGTATCGACAGAAGCGTAAACTTTTTATATTTTTTTATTGTAACAAGTTTTTTTTTGTTCTTTTTTTATTCTAAAAGTTGCGATCACAATATATGTTTGTATTATATATAGTTATATTATCAATGTATTTCAACCCAAACTCAACTCTCGTGTAAACGCGGCCAATATATGTAGATACTTATATTCAGAGGTGTCGGTAACGGTAAGTGTCGCGAGTTCAATAGTTTTTACCCAGGTCCAAAAATACATTCTTTTGTTTGTTGTTTAAAAATGCCCAACGCACTTAAAAGTTTTCACTTCAATAAATGTGTAAACAAACCTTTGATGGAGTCAACGAACTTTCCAGGTTGGTGACGCAGCGGTATTCCTGTCCACTGGCAGACCTGACCGGCCTTATATTGGGCGTATCATTGCGCTGTGGGAGGCTCGTGGAGCCATGGCAGTTAGAGTCAAGTGGTTCTACCATCCCGAAGAGACCGTGGGATGTACAGGACAACTACATTATCCGGTTAGTGTTTTATTGATCTCATTTTATTTCAAAACTAGCTGAGACCCGCGGTGTTACCCGCGTTTGTGGTTATAACCGCGGGCAACGCCGCGGGGCGAAGTTAGTTTTAAAAAATAGCCTAAGTTACTCCTTATGTCATCAACTATCTGCCAGTGAAAGTCCCGTCGAAATCGGTCCAGCCGTTCCAGAGATTACATGGAACAAACTGACAGACAGACAAAAATTGAAAAAAAAATATTTTGGCATATGGAACGTGTAAACATACATATGCATTTAGTAAAAAGCTGTTATTTTAATATTACAAACAGACACTCCAATTTTATTTATTTGTATAGATATAATATTTTAGCTTACTAAGCGAACATAGACTTAAAAGAAGACTTATGTTGTGACTGCTGGAATAGGTTAGCGAAGTTGGAGCATGAATTCCTGCTTTAGGCTATATTATATTAAGAAGTTTGAACTGAGATTGTCTGCTGGGATTACCAGCTTTAATCTCATTAGGAATTATTGTAGTACTTACGCTTTTCTGTGTCTTAAGTCTTGAAGTTCTAGATAGCAACACAAAGATATCCTATGGTGGTGATGAATAATAAACACGAAGGTTGTTTTATTTCCAGGGAGGGTTGTTCGAATCCCCTCACACTGACGAGAACGACGTGCAGACGATCTCGCACAAGTGCGAGGTGTTGTCGCTGGCGCAGTACAAGGAGCGCATGGGCGACGACCCGGCGCGCTACAGCTGCGTGTACGACAACAACGACGTGTACTACCTCGCCGGGAACTACGACCCCACGCAGCAACAGCTCCGCATGGAGCCCGACATACCGTTCGCCAACCAAACCACCTCCTAAACGTATATTGCGCCCTGGTACTCGCAGTCGAATACGACTATTGGGAAGAGATAGGAAACCAGTGAAATATACTCTCTCTTTCACTTACAAATGAACAGTACAATGACTATTGGTCGTGTTTTTTTAATTTTTTTGTCCTCTATATATTTCGTATAAAATTAAGATAAGTAAAATACATGATTATGGATTCTGTAATGTCAAGTTTCCGATTCATTCGAATAGATGGCCATGTACCATTGTAAAGTCTTCTTGGATCTTGGCCGTCGAATTAATCTCTTCACAGCGACATAATTAAAAGTACACAGTTTATCTTTATCGATGTTAGAGTGTTAATAGATTTTTGAAATATAAATGTTTTCCCATTAAACTGATAGCTTGGAGATTCACCTATACAGGTCATGAAGTACAACGTAGATTTGAGGCTCAAAATGTGACGATTATATCACGTTCACCGTCCCCAGGAGACGATCCAGTTTTGTTAAAGTTACCCTCGTTACATTATATTTAGTGGTATCCAGTTGGAATGTTGAACTGTTTGTGGTCCGTGGGCCGAGTGGCAGTCGGTGGTCGGTGGTCGGTACCGGTCGTGTTGTGGTCGGTTGGGACGCGACCGAAGGTGATGATTTGTGATTTAATTTTTTATACATATAGCGCTGTACTCTCAGTGTGTAGAGATGTAGTATTCGTGTATAATATCTAATAAGATTTTTTTATGTATACGTAGTTTTCCTTGGTATAAATATCTATCTTGAAATGCAATACTTTTTTTAGCTAGTCCCCACATTATTCTAAATTAATCTGTGCTAAAAGTTAGTTTTATTTTGGATAATTTTTTCAAAATAATATTCGGAAATAATACATATACCTATCTGTCTCGATCTTAGAGCTATTTGTTATTTGATTGTTTTTATCGATGTTTCTTTATATTTTCTTGTTTGATAATATTATGTTAATTGAAATACATTTATATCGAAATGGTGCTAGACGCTTGATACTGCTCGTTTATGTTCGCCGTAGTCGTTTAAGATGTATATAAATAAGTTGGGAAAGCTAGTAAGTAACTCACGATTTCCTCGGAAATATTCATTTCATATGCTTGTACTCCTAAAATGTTGCCATTTTACTGTAAAATCTACATATATATTATATATACTTTTTAATTAGTGCATAACTATATTATTTGGACAGGGTATGATTGGTATCACCCATCTTTGGATCCTTTTATTCATATCGTGAAGTTTAAGGGACTGAAAAGACAGGGATGTAGGTAGGTCGACCAAGGGTAGGCTCTAGGGTAGGTTTTGTACGGACAGGCCGATGGGGTTTGTAGGATAGTGTTGATTCGATTCAGCCTTAACCACGTTTGTGTCACACCTGCTGGCTTAGACAAGTGATCACGTGGCAAGTCCACTAACTCCATCCAAATATTAGCTCACGTTGGATTTCTTGAACTATAAATAATTTGTTAAATTGTTTTTTTTTTCAACACAATCACAGTGAAAAATAAGGCTGTTAAGACATCAATGAATAAAGTGAGGGATCTTAAAAGTGACATTAAAATTAACGTATTGGACGTTCCCTTAAAAATAACGCGCCAAAACACTTTGACGTGTGTGATGCAACCCATAGACACAACTTTGCTTTTTAGAATAGAATTTATTTAAATAAAAATATCTTTTTACATTTTGCTACCAATCTTTAATCTGCTTTTGACTGCACGGATGGCGTAGTGGTTTAAGCGGTCGCCACGCCGTTTCCTACTGCGCCGAGTGTTTTGGGTTCAAACTCCACATGGGACGACACTTTGTGTAATCCACAAATATTTGTTCTGAGTCTGATTGTTCTTTGTGTCCGTTTCATGTATATTTGTAAGGTCTCCCGTGACACAGGATCTATTCATAAAGCAGAAGTTGTTGTTTTTTTTTTTTAAGTTTTTTTAATTTGTCTACCACTTGTCTAAGCCTGCTTGTTAGAACCTAAAGCCTAATGTTTTTGTGTGAGAGGCGGAGGCCAAATGAGAGTGCGCGAGGCAGTTGATTAGGTGTATAAGTAAGCGATCCAGTCTCCAGTTTAGTTCGTAATGTCACGATAACACTTCAATATGGCGTGTCGTACTTTTTGTTATTGAGAGTAGATTTTAGCTATAAGTTATGTTATAAGTTATAATATTAGAGTCTTTGGTTTAATATATCTTTACATACTGTCAAAAAATACTATATTGGTGACAAAAATTGAGACAAATATTTAGAGAAACAAAAGTGCGAATTTCGGTAACAATATTGAGAAAATGTGGTATTTTTATATTAAACGTAAATGTAACATTTTTTTATTTTTAAACTAAAAAAAAGTATGTAAAGGGAGTTATTGTAAACAATAAGTACAAACTTGTTGATGAAAAATATTTGGCTCGGCCCAATGTACGTATACTAACACACCGGAGTAATTCGTTAAAAGTTGAAATAGCCTCAGGAAGCGAACTGTGGACTCGCATTTGATGAACTTGAGGTTGTTACATTTTATGAATTATTCCCAGCAATCATAGCGTGTAATAGAATGGGACGCCATACAAATATTAGAATAAAGATTAATAATATATCAGCATTGATAATATAAAGATTATAAATACGCTTAAATAAAATATTTTTGGCTGATTTTTTGTGTTTTATTGAAACAACTTGTGACCTGAAGACATTTTATTAGTTGAAAAATATTATTATTATTTGACATTGTGTAGATCTGTGTATAAGTCGAGAAAAATGGACGGAAATTGTATAAGGAACAAAAGGGGAACCAGTGCAGACATTAACATGTTCAATGTTTATTCAAGTAATACCAGGATATCATAACTGCTAGGTAGTGTGACCTATATACTAAAACTAATCTTAAATTTATTGTCATACATTAAGTTTAGGTTCAACAAAGAATTTCCCGTTTGCCGTTGCTGATGATTTCGTAAGTATCATCATCTATTATCTTGTAGACATCTTGTCTGTAATGCTTTAAGTTGTGGAGGAACCGCTCTGAACTCTCTTCTCGTATTTTCGTGAGCACTGAAGGTAGAGTTTTCGTTTTGGCCTCTGTGGCTAATGAGGCGTAGTATCTTTCCTGTAACAAGAAACGATAATATTAATTACTAATATACTCCTTGACAAGTATCAAAACAGTTTATTTGAAAAAAGTATATCTGACTTTAATGCGTCTAAATTATTTTAAATTTTAATATTCTGCATCCTTCATCAGTTAATTATCTGCCCTTTAAGGATGATTATTTTCTTCCACTAGTCCAAAAAAAAAAGATTGAAATCGGTACACAAATGGTTAAGATATCGGGTAATACACACAAAAATGTATGAAATTGAAAATCTCATTTTTGACAAATCCGTAATAGGTAAGTTGATTTCAATGAAATCGTAAGGTAGAAAAACTGAACCTCAATTTTGCATTAAAATTTGATTTTAAAAATCTATTACATGTCACTGCAGTATGACAACGAACAATTTTATTAAACAAAACTTCTTTTCATAATTGAACTACTGCGTGTAGTTCAATTATGAAAAGAAGTGCACAGGAAATTATAAGTCTGTATGCTACAATAATATCCTTGTATTGGTTCAATAACATGAGGCACGTCAACAATCGTTCGAGTGAACCAAGGCAAACATTTGATAACCTCGAATACAGAAGCGATGTTGTATTAAATTATTCCTCAAGTAGTGTTCATAGTGTTCAGTCTCGAGTAAGCGATAATACTATCAAGACGTGGCTGGTGGACTGGTTAAGAACAGTTTGAAACTCTTCGCAAGTTCTGGACGCCTGGTATTTTGTAATCTTATAATTGTTATGTACAACGTCAATAAAAAACGTTTTGTTTTGGTTTTTTATTTTAACAAACTTGACCTTGGGTAAGTATTATTTATTTTTAACATAGTGAGATTATTTGAAGTTTCGGTATAACATTATATAATACAATTAATTATGTGTACAATATTTTAATGATCAGTGAAATAATTTTTAAACAATCTTTTGTTTTTAATACTAGGCGTTCTATAAATGATTATTTCCTAATTAAAAATAATATATATACAGAACAGTAAATTTGAAATGCGAGATAGACATACTAAAACATTTACAGGTAAAGATATAAATTAATGAACTAAATATGCCTTTAAGTGAAATTAACGCCTTCTGTTCGAAAACCTGGAGGGGGTTTGAGCGTCCAATGAACATTTATAGACTTTTTAATTGAAGTCTAAAAGTAGCCTCAACTGAGAAAAGTAAGTATTTGAAAAAACTTTTCCCGAAGTTTAAAACAAGGTTTGCTTGCCCTTGATGATAGAAGTTCGATGCCCGGCTATCATACTCGTATCTATACTAATATTATAAAGCTGAAGAGTTTGTTTGTTTGTTTGTTTGTTTGAACGCGCTAATCTCAGGACCTACTGGTCCGATTTGAAAAATTCTTTCAGTGTTAGATAGCCTATTTATCGAGGAAGGCTATAGGCTATATATCATCACGCTAAGACCAATAGGAGCGGAGCACCAATGTTTCAAAAACGGAGAAAATTTATTACTATTGAGCGACGCAAACGAAGTTGCGCGGGTCAGCTAGTCTACTATATATATCAAATCCAAGTGTGAATTATCATTCACATTAGGATTCATGGCAACAGGCTCTAAGACCGCCAAAATTAAAGTTCTCTAAGGCCTGTCTGTCTGTGTCTAAGGATCAACTGCAAAGTGCAATTGCAGCGTTAAAGATATTTTAGCTTTTTAACCACAATTTATTAATTAGGCATACATCTTAACTCATTGTGACCGTTTGCTCTAAGTCAGTCCGTGGAAGGACGGAATCAATTCTAGCAGTTATCGACCGCGTCTGCCTGGACATCGCCTAAAGGAGGTTTTACCTGAACTCGTGCCCACGCTTTTGTGGGCAGACGCTAGGATGGGCCGGAAAGTCCTAATAAAATCTCGACCCCTGCTATTCTAGGCACAAAGCAGCACATCGTGTAGACGGTTTGTTTCTGATACACCGTCTCACCAAAAACACCAGAGGGGTGACGGCCCTTGGGGTTTATCAAAGGTACAAAAAAGTTGATAGTCTCATTTGGGTTCAACTCTAAATGTCAGGAATTCTTTTCAATGAAAAATCTACATTTATTGCTATCGAAGGTAAGCCAGGAAGTCGAGAGTAAAATCATGAGGGCAGGTTCTTAAAGGTGAATCACTGTTACTCATGAATAGAATAGAATAATCTTTATTTTACACCAATTCAAGATATTATACATCCAATAGTATTCTAAGTTAATGACCATGTACAAATGGCGGCCTTATCGCTAAAAAGCAATCTCTTACAGGCAACCTTTGGATGGACAAATAGACTTGCGACAGGAAAATAAATTGTCAAATAAAGTTTTATAACCGCGTTAATTTTAATATTTGACATTTTGATGGCATAGAGGACAAGCAAGCAGACGGGTCATCTGAAGGTAAGTGAACACCCTTGTCCATGAATCGGCGGCGCTAAAATCATAATATAGTATGATTAAAAATAAAAAACTTGCTCCACAAAGCGTACCATACGGAAGCCTGGTTGGCTCACCGTCGACTTGTAAGAAAAAGGCACCACACAGGCCCACACTGTAAGTGAACTTTTATATTTGTGTTTTTTTTTAATATTTTATCTCAAACGCTGAAGAGAGGGACGCCACTATCAAGTTTCTGCCCGGTTCGAAAAAAGTCGTAGATCCGAGGCTGGATTATCTTAGCCACTTGATAAAAAAGAAAGAATTACTACAAGATGGTGTTTCTATTACAAGACGTCTTCAAGACATTTTTTTTCAAGAATCTACTTAGTTTTTCAAAATTAAAAAAAAAACGGTTGAGGATATTGGTGGAATCAAAACTGCCTGAGTTTTTTTTTTTCTATAAAATACATGTCGTCAATAGAATGTCTTTGCTAATGTAAATAGATTACTAGCTTTGCCCGCGGCTCCGCCCGCTTAAATGTCGGTTATCGCGGTAAAGAATAGCCTATGTCTTTGATCTAGAATCAAAGTATCTTCATATCAAATTTCATCTAAATCGGTTGAGCGGTTATTGATTCTCTATACAAACTTCGACCTCTCCATAAAGACCCTTTTCACCCTCATAAAGGATGTTCTCTCTGATAAAAACCACCTATGTCCTTTCCCGGGATGAATCCCAAAGCGGTTTAAGCGTGAGGAGGTAACATACAGATAGAAAGACTGACATACACACTTTTGCATTTATAATATTAGTATGAAAGAAGTATGGTATTTTTTTTTTTTTTTTTATTGGGACTAATTCCACCCACACGCCCACCACTGTAACTCCTGTACACCAGGATCCACAGCAGTGACCCACGAACACACCGAGTTATGACACTCGGGAAGTCCCAGGAAGAAATTAAACTGTCTTGGAACCCGCAACGAAATTAATCAGAAGAAAATTGGAGGAGTTGGAAATAAGTATGGTATATTAGGATGGACACGTAAGTTCTATACCCACTAGTATGCTACAGAGAAAAAATATTTGTTTTTTGGGTTTTAATAATAATAACCCCCTACACATCTAAATCGATCCAAGTGGCATGTAATGTGAGAGGCCTATGTCCAGCAGTGGACTGCGATAGGCTGACGATGATGATGAACCCTACACATCTTACACACGGCCGTCTAATCCCAAAAAAGTCAGAGCCTGTACTATTGTAACCAGACTGGGCCTCAATTCTGCTATTTTATGTTCAAGCCAAAAAAACGTAATATATTTTCAAATTTTAAGGAAATGATTTATTTATTTTTCCAAATATGGCAATCTTTTTGATATCACCACTGATGAGCCACTGCGTTAAAAAGGAAGATTAAAATTAAAAGATAAAAATACTAATTTAAAATAACAAAATCAGAACTTCTAGTCTCTCTCTAAATTTTTTGTTTTTTATGATAGAGAGGACAAACGAGCACACGGGTCACCTGATGGAAAGTGACTATCGGCGCCCATGGACGTCTGCAACTCAGGAGCCACAAACGCGTTGCCGGCCTTTTGGGAAGGAGTACGCTCTTTTCAGGAAGGTTTGAAGGTCGTATCTGTCCGGAAATACCGCAGACGATAACTCCACCTACATGAACCTTGGAACAGTGGTTCATATAGGTAGAGTCGAGCCTAGCAGCTATCATATTATTGTCAGTGCTCCACTTCTAAGAGTTGCTAACTCCAGAAGAAAATTATTCAGTTTTATCGCATATAATAAAAATGGTAAGTTAGTTTGTGGATGCTTTAAAATCTCAAAAACTTCTGCACCGATTGAGGTCAAATTTCACACGACATACAACCCGCTTCAAAGATCGTTTTCGTCTATTTTCTTGTCAGTTTTGTTCCTTATTTGTTATTAATTCAACCACAATATCCACAGCGAAGCGGTCCAAAGTACACTAGTTATGTAAAACCATAGTTAGTAATTACGAATTTAAAATTAACGAACAGTGTAAGTAAAAAATTAAAGGGTTAAAAGCAATAAATATAATTAATTTATGCAATAAACTGTTTTATTGTCTTCCGCAAAACTTTTTTGACTTTTTATTGTAGCCGATGCTTCTATACGTAAACAATAAATTTACGAACGATTTTTATCATTTTTCTTAAATTATGGTCTGCGAAAAATTCTTAACTTCTCCAATTTTTTTTATCTGTGATTGGAGAAGCCCCAAGATGGGCATAAAAGTTATTAATTAATGATGAAGCATTTATTCTTTTAACTTTCTATTTTCTTCAGCTTCCAAATGTTATCCAGTATCTATAATGATTTTGTTCTCTGTCAACCAACCCAGTCGCACAAGTCACTAACTATGCTAATATTAAATTTCTTAGGAAAGAAAACAATTTAAAAAGAATTAATATATTTACAACTTTTTAATTTCAACGCTATTTCTTTTATATAACAAGATAAAATATTTGTCAAATAACATAATTCTTTAATTCCCAATCTGTACAAGGACACTATCCTTTCTCAAAGTATCAGGATCTCATAACTTAGTTACAAGTAAAACTATCATCGTCTATAATACGGTATCTATCATTCCTGTAATGGGTGAGGTTGTCCTTGAACTTCAGACTGGAGTCGTTGTGCACCTTGGTGAACACTGGGGCCAGAGACTCCGCACCGGACTCCAGGGCGAGCGTTATGTAGTAGTTACCCTGGATATGCGGTCATAATATGTATTTTTTTTTAGATTAGGACCTTCGCGATGCATGTTTGTAATGATTAAAGACTAGGATATCATAAATACTCGTACGTAATCTGTTGGTTAAAAGTCTTAGTCTTAAGTCATTTTGCAAATTTGGATTTTTGGATTAGATTAACATTGGAGACTTAATTACACAGTTTAGCGTTTACGATTTTAATGTTCATATACAATTATACGCATGCTTATTCCAATTGTTGATAACAAATTAGAACAGACCTTAATTCAAGAGCTCAAATAATTCAAGGCGTGTTTTTTTTTATTTATGTGACTACTGAGACATGGGGCTACCCCGAAATATGCACACATTAAGAGAGCTTTGTCTAAGGACGAAATGCCCATATATGGATATTACCTAAGAATGATGCTTACCCGATAGAAGTACAGAAAACTCATCACAGAAAAACAACTGTGTTTAAATAATTTGTCGACGTCCCTTTCAAATCTGTTCATTCGAGTACAGATTCATCATAATATATCATCATCATCATCTTTCTGCCATTTTCCCAATTTTATTAGGAAGCCGGCGAATTTCATTGGTGTCTTTTATGTTCGATGTGTGGACGCATTAATTATACGGAGTGTCAACACCTCTATTCATTTTGTGGGTTAAGAGCCCAGGGAAGCATGCGTAGTATAGCCATATATATAGGACAACAGCACTGCAAAGAGATAGAATACTTGAAACAAACCCAATACCAATACGTCTGGCCAGCGTGGTATAGAAGGCAAAAACCTCCTTTCTAAAGAGAGGCTTATGTCCAGCAGTGGACTATTATAGGCTGTTGATAATGATGATGTTTGATCTTCTACTTAATACTAATTCTTCTTGGAAAAGTATTCGCTTTCAAATGGAACAAAAAAATAGGATAAATTGTGACAAACAAACGTATAAGACGATATTGTAAACGATACCACAATTTTCTGATGAGGTAACAGTACTGACACTGCAGTAACCTGAAGATGTTTAAGTCGCTTACCCATACATCCATCCATGCCATTGGAGTGGCTACCAGGACGGCATGAAATGTCGCATGTATAAAGATATGACACAGTTTACCTGGTCGGGCCCCATCATGTGCGTCTGCCGCTTGCTGTAGCCGCGCGCGGCGCGGTCGCGCTTCTCGTTCTCCCAGTCCTGCGTCATGTCTGCCGGCGCCGGCAGCCGGAACGTGCCGTTCATCGAGCGGATGTAGTACCGCACCTGGATATATACAGAAGAATTATTTGAAATTAAAGAGACAGATACCGCACATTAATTCCGCAATCCTACTTTGACTTACGTGGCCTCATAAAACCATATCAAAAACATTGTTTGTTTAAAAGATAACTTCCGCACTAGGAATATAATCATGTGTCTTTACAAACATACATCAAACGGACACAAAGAACACCCAGACTCAGGGCAACAATTTGTGGATCACACAAAGTGATGTCCCATGTGAGGATCGAACCCACAACACTACTACGCCATCCATGCAGTCGAATTATATACTATATTAATAATTGCTGGGTTTATTTGTCGTACATATAAATAATCAACTATTTTTAATATATTACTGTCTCTTTTTACAACTGCCACGATAAAAAGGTATATTATAGCTTAAAGCTTTCATTAAAAATGTTACAAAGCAATTTATTTTTTATGAGTAAAAAACCAATAGGTAATACTCGTTTTTCCTTTCTATTTTAAACATTTAATTACTTTTATATGTATTTAACTCAAATGATAATAAAATAAAACAATAAAATTACAAAAACAACTTATCTAAAAATAAATATTTAAAATAAGAACCACATTCCCACAGACAATAACCGCGTATTTATAAATAACACAGTATGTTTACATACAGCCTATTTTGGCTGGTGTTTAACATTCGTCTTTGACTTTATTTCCGTAGTTTACAGCAAAAAGGTTACATTACTGTCATAATGTGTTTATTCACGTAGGTACCACTTTCCTGTCATGTTTAGGCTTCGAAAGGATAACATCCTCGAATACAAATACAACTATAACTACTAAAATACAAATATAAAATGATATTAGAAGTTAATTAATATATATTTTAAATATTGAATTATGTAGGTAAATATGTAGAACGATTTGTACTAAATGCTAACTGGTAATCTTTATTTTTCTTAATAAAATATTTACTTATATTAGTTATGTGTACTTCTTGGCAATCCTGATAAATAAATACGTTTTATAGAGTACACGTATACGTTAGTAGAGTCGACTATATCATGTTTAAATCTTGAGCTTTTTTTGTATTTCGTAGAAGAAAGGCAGGTGGAAGGGGGGGGGGGTTCTGGTTAATGAGGACACGTAAAAGACGCATGTCATGAGACTGTGACTGACTGGGTATTAAAGCAGTCTACTTTTTACCTGAAGGTCAAACATGGAGAAAGCGCACACGTAGTAAGGAACGCCGATGAAGCACATGGAGGGGTGTCGGATGTTCACCAAGTGCTTATACAGAGGCTCCACGCAGTTGTCCTCCACCACGATACCGCAGGACTGGTGGAGGAACGGGAAGTTGTACTGGTATCCTAGTAAACAGCAACACAAAGTAGTAAACAACATTTTTTGTTTATTTAGTTTTAACTAGCTGGTACCCGCGACTTCTGTCGCGTGGAATTTGAAAAGCGCTGCCTTAGCTATTCAATATTTTTTACATAACTCTGTATTCACTCATCTATAGGTACTAATATTATAAAGCTGAAGAGTTTGTTTGTTTGTTTGTTTGAAGGCGCTAATCTCAGGAACTACTGGTCCGATTTGAAAAATTCTTTCAGTGTTAGATAGCCCATTTATCGAGGAAGGAGGAGCTATATATCATCACGCTAAGACCAATAGGAGCGGAGCACCAATGAAGAATGTTTCAAAAACGGAGAAAATGTATTTCTATTGAGAGACGCAGACGAAGTTGCGCGGGTCAGCTAGTGTAATATAATTGTAACGTCTACATTAAAATGTTTCGTACCTTTAGATTTTTTTGCGTCTGCGTGCCCAAAATCGATTTAAGTGGTGTGGAATGGGAGAGGCCTACGTCCAGCAGTGGACTGCGATAGGCTGATGATAATGACTGTTAGATACTGAAGGTATTTGTCGTTCCCAAGAGCAGTTCATTTCTATGAACTGAACCTGCATCTCCATACTTCTCTATAACCTATTCAGCTCGAGATCGTAACAAAAATAATAATTTCCCTTACCAGTACATAAGAATACAACATCAACTTCGTCTTCACTTCCATCTTGGAAGTAAACTCTCTCTCCATCAAATTTCTGAACATCAGGCTTCTGGACCAAGTTGTCCGGGAACTTCGTCCTTGGTTGTGGGTTTAGATGGTGGCTAAGGATAACCTTCTTTGTGACACTTGTGATTTCTAATGCGATGTCCATGCCGGAGGGCCCTGCACCGATGACCAGCACTCTCTTGTCGGTAAATATTTCTGGAACTCGGTAGTCGTGGCAATGCATTACCTCACCTGCGGAGAAGTTAATTAGATGAGATATGACGGAAAACCTTGCCGGGCTTACGTTGACCGTCTGTGTACTTAGACTCCAAGTGTCAAAAGATTAAACTTTTTAATGGTTTGCTATCTATGTGGGTTTTTTTTTAATAGGGGGCAAACGAGCAGACGGGTCACCTGATGGAAAGCAACTACCGCCGCCCATTAGTCACAAGCGCGTTGTAAGCCTTTGAGGAAGGAGTACGCTCTTTTTTTGAAGGTCGTATCGGACCGGAAATACCGCAGCCGATAACTTGTTCCACAGGTTGGTAGTGCGAGGCAAAAAGTGTCTTGAAAAGCGCACAGTGGTGTAGCGCCAATTATCCAAATGGTGAGAATGAAAATTTTGCCGTATGGAACCATGGCGGAAGTTTGCCGTGTCGTTTAGTCTGAACAATTCCTCGGAGCACTCTCCATGATATATACGATAGAGAAGGCAGATCAATGCTACATCCTACGTAACGTAAAGGGATTGAGCCGGTAGCAAATCTTTTGGCTATCGACGATTGATTGGTGAACACTTACAGGAATGTGGAAGGTTCAGATAGACTTCCTTAACTAACTAGATATTGCAACTGCCATTAGTTCTGTAATTCTAGATCATGAATCGCCATGAGACACACATTTCTTGGCTGTGAAAAACTGGGTTTTAACCCTCTCTTCCTAGTAAGCTAATGGAAAGTGACGATAAAGAACATGATACATGCCTATTCAGGCGAAACCTTTTGGTCTACGCTTTGTACTCTTAAGGTTCAAGGATTATGATTGTCTAGAAAATTAGAAGCTGGCTGTAAATTAGCACTGCAAAAAGAAGGAAAACTTGACACAAACCCTATACCAACCCGTCTGGCCAGCGTGGTATAGTAGGCCAAAACCTTCTTCCTAAGGAGAGGCCTATGTTCAAAAAAGGAGCTATCAAACCGTTATGCTCGTCTTTTTAGATTGTTGTCTAGTAGTCCGAGTAGCTGATATTTCAATGGACAGAAAGAGATACATTGTATGTATAGTTAACTTACCATGAAATTCCTTTAACCCTGGTATACTAGGTATAAACGGTGTATTGTAGTGTCCGTTGCAGACAAACACATATTCGTATTCCTTCGTCTTTATAACTCCGTTCTTCAGGTTCTTGAAGGTGACGTCCCATAAAGTGCCAGAAGGCGCCTCCTTCGGTATTATCAGTTGCACATGGTGATGGAACTGCAATAAAAGTTATTGATTTATGATGGTTTTTATAAATATTCGCATCTTAGTTACTTATCAAGTGGAACTTAGAAAGAGGAGTGGAGGAGGAGGAGTGAAATAAGTTATGTTCTGACTAAAGTAAGTTACTGCCGTTTCAAGTAATATAATTTAGTTAAGTGGGTGCTTTCCGATATGCTTCAGACAGCTCACCCGAGGGTTAATGACTTACGCCACCCATGGACATATGTGTAATTCCCATTTAAAAAACCCCTCTTTAATTGTATTTTTAATTATATCACCTTGGGTGCATTTGTTTTTACAAAACATCTCTGCGGGAAATGTTTTTCTTATAAAAATAATAATCACAGAAAGACATTTTTAAAGAATAAGTTTACTGTAAATGAAATAAAAACCAACACCTTTTCATGAAAGCTGGTTAAAAATTTATGATTTTTTGATAATATTATCAGCTTTAAAAACATGTCTAAAAGTTTAAAATGGATATCACATAATATAAATAATACCTATACTAAAAGACAAGCCACATTGATAAGATAATAAACAAATTTAATTTATTGTCTTTCTTATCAGGAAACTTTTCTAAACGACACGAATTGTTGTCGGGTAAGACGATATCTGGAGTAAATACTGTAGCTAATAAATTAACTCTTAGCTTTTATGTTACCTTGATAAGTTCGGTGACTCCATGTTTGTCTGCGTACGCCTGGAGGAAGGTGAGCATATCTTTAGCTGGCAGGTACGACTTATCACTCTCCGGGATCGGGAAATCCGGGAAGCCCATGATTTCTTTGGGAAGATTCGTCCTGGAATCCGGCATAAACTGTTGCATATAACTATCTTAACTTAACTTGCATATAATTATCTTGTGCCTACATTATAATGAATAATAAACTGTGTTTTTTCAATTTTAATTTCCACCCTATTTTAGTGTTATTTACTCAAATTGAAATGGGACCAAACGGGCAGTACCTTGTCAAAACATTTTTGAACATAAAAAATACAAACGAATTTACAACAAAGCAAATACCTAGAATAAGTATCTAATTTATACTAACTATATAAAAAATAAATACGCTTGTTTTGTTTAATTGTTTAAATGCCCTAATCACTGGACTTAGAATATCACCTATCAGTCAGAGTTGAATAAATCGTTTTGTACTGTATAGATAGAGTATTCTTTAAGGATGGTTATGTTAACCATTACGCCATGCTATACGCCATAGCGTACAATATATAAAATATTTAGAAATCTTGGGATATTTAGAAAAACACCGCTATCTGGATTGTAAAACCAAATTAAGTATAGTCTGAATGTGTTCTACACTCATGTTACTTAGAGATATTAGTTTTGTAAATACGTAAGTATTTACAAAACAAAAATCTATCTATTTTAATGATATTTAAGGATAATAAAATTTGGACTAATTCACAGCAAGCGTTTTGTGCGTTGGTGCCGTTGTTTGCATCACTCCCGTCGATATATGTATAAATCAGTATAAATGTTATAATTTACTATATTTTATTATTTAATACAGTTAACATGTATTAAGTTTATGATACAATTTATATTACATTATATATATCGTCCCCGTAGTTGGAAAATTAAATACTTACTATGATTTTGTAGTTCTGAGATAAACGCGATTCAGTGTTAATGTACATTTGTTAAAAAATGTGAGACAGTTTTAGTGTCGGTGTTTATTTTATATTTTGTGGACCTGATTACCTTTTATATTTTGCTTTAACAAACTGAACTCTATCTTTAACTATAACAAAATAAAACATTAAAAAGCAAGTTGTTTAATTTTGCCACAACTATTATTTATAACGTAACTAAAATTAGCTACTTATTTCGGCTATTTATTTAGTTTTCCTACAAGCTAAATCCATTTGGTAGAGTAAAATTTGGTGAAATAAATGCAGTTATTGAATTTATCAAACTCGAAATATTTTTAAATGTAAAACTTAGTGGCTGTGTATTTTACATTATTTTGATATTTTTAACTATTATTGGTCTCATATAACGTAAAAGCTTTATTATGATATTAATAAAGTTATATTTTGGAAGAAATATAAAAGTACAATAAAATTTTAAAAAAGGGTATTGTAAACAGATATTTATCTTGATACAAACTTAAAAAAATAAACAAAATTATAGCAATTATAACAAGTGGAAACAAATTAACTTAAAGTATTCTTTCAAATCAAAACAGAAAATAATTTAAACCCAAAAAATAAGGCCCTAAAATCAGAGACCTAATTACAAAAGACATACTTAAGTAGTAAGTAAAACTATGAAAAACTTAAAATAGGTATGTTATTTAATTTATTTGCCATTAAACTTATCATTGACCACAGTTATTGATTTATTTACTGAGTTATTTATTTTTCCTTCAACAAAATAGTGTTAGTCTGAAGATATTTATTATTCTATCTGTTCGACAAAAATGGCTATATTTTTGGAATGGAATAAGATACGAAAATGTCTGTAAGGCTCAAATATGCGGCATGTTTTAGGTGTTTTGAAAATAGGGAAAAGTCAATATCGCCAAAACCGGACTTATTTAATTCTCCAACTATTCAAATAAATAAAGCAAGCCACCTTGAATGGCACTTATTTCCTTCGATATGGAAGCGGAACTACTAGGGTAACATAAACGGCGGATGGTCAACTTGTAAACAACACTGAGAATGTGGATAGCAGTGTCGTATTGTTCACAAGGTCTTTTTGTTTTCTATAAATGCCCGTACTATTTCACTATTTAAAACTGTTTAATTTTTTTTTATATAATAAATAATAATATTTCAGACACAACGCCATTCTCGTTTCAAATTAAGTAGAGCTTAGACTATGAAAGCTAGATTGACTGATAGAATACTTTTTTTTTTGTAAATACATACAATATAGTTTACATAGAAAAAACCGAAGCTCCGAAACAAATATTTGCAGAGCATACAAATATTTGGTCCGACCCAGGATTCAAACCCGAGACCTCAGAACAGCTGTCGCATACGCTACCACTGATCCACCGAGGCATACATAATCTTAAATTATTTAAAATTTGCATTATTAAAGTTTTAAGCGTTATTTGGCTAATTTCCTCAGGATTCTTTTCATTCAATAAACAAATAGATCACTGTGATCCAATCGCGCTTCTTTCTAAACGTACATTTCTAGAATATACAAAATGCCCGTTAATATCTCTCCCAACCTATCTTACCCTGGTAGATAGCCTCCGACCTTTCTACCGAGCACGTAACGAATAATTTATTAATGTTGCTATGATACTTTTTGACAAGAATAAATAAACGAATAAACTTACATACGAATGTGCGATATTCAGTGACCTATTTTATGGGATGGACTATTCCACTTGGGATGTCGTAAGAGGGGCTTTATCAATGGCATTGAAGTAAGATAACGAGACATTGAAGCCAGCAAAACAAATAAGAATGGGTTAATTAAATGTGTAACCATGACAACGAGAAAATCGCTTAAAAATGTATATTAACAGGGCCTCAATGCTGCTATTTTATGTGAACGCCAAGCCACTGTCATTCAATTGACACACTATTGAGATGCCACTGTGACGCCATTGACATCAGTCAAAATATCAGTATTCTATTAACATGTTTTCACAGTTTCAATAGGCTGTCGATATAGTAATATGGGTCATCAATGGTGATATCAACAACATTGCCATATCTGGAAAATTAAAAATATAATTTTCTAACAAAATTAAAATCTACCGTTTACCAAACTGTAACAAAAACATCGACGACATTTGTATCAGTGACAAGTCATCGGGAGGCCATTCGTCTTAAATAGTTAGTAGAATAAGAAAAGCACAAAACTATTCCGACGACATTCCATCGACAGTCTATTGATACAATATTAAAATAGCTGATCCAAATTCGGAGGCAGCTAAAATGCTTTATAATTTAGTTTTAAGTAGTAATAATAATAATATGTAGTAGCTAGCTTAGAATAAGGTATTATGGGATTGACATCGTCATTTTTATGTACAAAAATCCCTTGTATAAAATAAAGAAAAAAAAAAAAAAAAATATATTAAAATAGCAGAATTAAGGGGCGGGACTGTTTGCCTAGTGGTTAATTAACCTGACTGCTAAGCCAGAGGTCGTGAGTTCGATTCTTACCCAGGACGAATATTTTGTGATGATAATTTGTTCTATATATAACTATCTGTACGCTCCCACGCTTGGCTGTGACACATTATTGTTCATTGATGAGAAATGAAGAACAAAAGTGACGCGATAAAATTATAAAAACCACCTTTGAAGCGTGTTGTCATATGTGTAATAAATACTAATTTGTTACACATATGATGTTGTATACTGTGTCACAATTTGAGCTCAATGGTGTAGAACTTTTAGAGTTTTTAAGGCTTGTTTATCAGCAGTCTGGTAACCATAGTTCAGGCTTTACCTAGTTTTGAATGTGTGAGGTTATTATTATTTCGACAACAATACTAGATAGTTGTAAGCTCACCTCAAACTTTTGTACATACTAGTGTGTATAGGCAGGCCGAAGTCATCGTATCCAACGTCTTCGGTGTACACCCAAGTACCGCCGAGCTGGCCAGCCTGCTCCAGTACGTCGACGCTGCTAACGCAGGGTTCTACGAGCAGGTGTCTAGCTGCGCATAGGCCAGCTGCGCCCGCTCCGATAACGCATACTCGAGCCATGACTGAAATGATAAAAACATTACTTGAATTTTATTTTTATTCAAAATCTATTTTATCTTCTCAACCTTATTGTATCCTGGTACTAATCGTTTATTAAGATTTCTAAAGTTTTTTAGTTGATGGATACTGAATGCCTTAAAACTCATTCATATCATTTCGTTAACTTTGACTTTAAAAATATTTAGCGATTTATTTTTCCAGAAGGTACCAAATTTTATCTAAAGAAATATAAAATAATGAAAAAAAATTACGGTTCTCGTTACTATTAAATTTAAATAAACAGTTTATTTTTCTGAAAATGTATATTAAAATTAATTATTTCGAAAAAAACTGAAAATTAAATACCATTTTTGTACCATTGTACTTTGTTTCGTTTGTTTGTTGTGTCTTGATTTCCGCCTTAACATTCTAACCTAGGCATTTTAATGAGTAGAATATTAATCTATGTAAGGCAAAGGAATCAACGTTTGCATTGCGGACGGACATTCCACATTGTAATTAATTGACATAATAAGCAAGTATCAAATAAGTCTATAGAAAACTTATTTACAGCTTTTTTAAATTCGGAAATGAATACTGGCCAGTAACAGATCATCAATCAAAACCATTTTCAATTTTAAAATATCATAACACGTAATTAATGATATTTTTTCATTATTTTAAAAACTGTATTTTGATGGTCACACATGAATTTAAAAAAATATCTTGGCCATGGTATGCCTGAGTATTTTTTTATTTTATTTTTTCATACCTTATTTGTGGAGGATGAGAATTTGGTATTTGTAAAGTACCATATTTCATATACGTATTAAATAAACCAAGAATGGCTGGAAAATTTGTTTGTTATTACAATGCCACCCATTGAGCAGTTTGAACGTCTGAGTTGTACAGATATGCTGTATTTGTATGTAATTGTTTAGCTACATATAATCTGAGCTGATATAAGCATTGACCTTAGTACGTGGATAGCAGCATTTCGCTTCATACCTTTTTACGAACATTCCCAACAAGTCAAAAATCACTTTCGCAATGAAATAAAGGACCGCGTGAAAGAAAAAAATTGACGGAAACCTCTAAGGTTGTAGTTTTTATTCTCATTAAGCTCGCATCATCATCATCAACAGCCTTTAATAGTCCACTGCTGGACATAAGCACCTCCTAAAAAAGGAGGTTTTGGCCTACTATACTATGCTGGCCAGACCGGGTGGTATAGAGTTTGTTTTATGTTTTCCTTTCCTTTGCAGTGCTGTGGACCTGCGTAGTTCGCTTCCTTAGTCGGCTCTTACGACGCCCAAGGGATATATTTGGGTGGTGACTTAATCCGTCACCTCACGTATATGTAAATATGATAGCAATTAATTAAGTAAAATAATAAACAAATAAGCGATTAAATGGTATACAAACTTCTTAGACCTTTCTTATCCAAGAAAACAAATCGACGCTCATAAACAACAAATAAAAACAAAACGTATGCGAGATTGCATCAGAGGGCCTAGTGCGAGTTTATTTCACTTCTACTCGATCGTCACGGTAACTGCGATCGCTGTGATCGGCCCGCGCTTAAATCTCCACCAATCGCAACGCTAAACGCGCTCGCCGTCGAGAGCGATCGATTTGAAATAAACTTATTCCTCGGCCCTCGGTTTACTGAACGTTATCAGCTAATGTGTGTCTTAACAGGGCCGGGGTGTGACGTGTACTGAATCTAACTGGTTCAGATTCACCCCTTATCATCGTTTGACGCGATACGTCTTAGTATTTGACCCGTCTACAACTCTTTTATTTTTCATTGTATAGGGGCAAACAGATTGGTCAGCAGATGGTAAGTGACTATCGCCGCCCATGGATATCTGGAACTGTAGAGCCACAAGTTTAGGAGGAGGGGGTTTGGGCTTTGGTAACCTTCATCACTCCTTGAAAAGCAGCCAGAAAATGCTTAACACCGGTTTTCTGTGAGAGTCAGGCCGTAGTATCACTCCGTTCGAGCCGACTGCACCGAAACATAGCTATCCCATGACTCCTTTCAATAAGATATTTTCATACTTTCTCTACTATCGGAAAGGTGCGTTTGTAACCTAATAAAGAATGAAAAGAAAGACAAATATTTCTTAGTCTTTTTTACATCATCATCATCATCAACAGTCTTTAATAGTCCACTGGTGGACATAAGCCTCTCCTTTTTACATAGGATATGTTAAAGTTGAAAATTACACACACACACAATACACATTACAATATGCTGTTGGGAATGAGTGGAAGCCGATAGGGCGCGTTCCACGCTTCCACTCAATCCTAACAGAACATTTAAGGACAGTTGACCGACTTAACAAGAATACTAGGAACCACTAGTATTCTTAGGTTGTATTCTAGTAATACTAGTAACGTGGGCGACAAGTCTGTCACTCACGTTATACCCTTTTTTTTGTTGACATGGTGGAAAATCCCTTCTGATTTCCAGCTCCTTAGCTACTCAGGGGTCAGAAGTGGTGATTCCACGAAAACCACCTCGAAGGGCAGCCTCGGGCGCTCTACTCTAGGAGCATCCGGACCACGTGATTTCAGGTCTTCCCCGAATCGACACCAAGCCTAATCAACCTTATCCCAGGGGAAATGCCTTCCCCACGTTACTATATGCCTTTTTCGTAATACATATTTAGTCGTTGTGAAAATCTAGCCTCTTTAATGAAAGCCAACTTCGCTGATAGAAGGTCGTCTTGACATTTGATGTGTCTGTGAAGACACGCGCTAAGTAATATCTGTTCTGTAATAAACTAAGCAATTAATTTAATAACAAATGACTGACCTGTTGGTCTACTGTTTAGTGAAACTGCTAAACATGAGGTCATCGGTTCGATTCCTACCTTGACAAAATTATTTTGTGTGGAGAGCACGATCATTTATATGTATAAACCTTGGCATCCTTGGGTCGATAATTTACCTCAGTACCTATGTGTATTTTAAGGAAGGATAGCTTTTGCACACTCAAGTTTATTTGGTTAAAAGTAAGCAGTAGGTAAGAGAGGCTCGTGGATAAGTGGTAATTGAGTAGGTTAACACATTGCAAAAGTTAAGCAATTTAAGCTAGGTCAGTCTATAGACGGATGACCATTTTTAACACATTAAGACCCCTCCGTGCCTCGGAAAGCATATCAAGCCGTAGGTCCCGGTTACATATGAACATCTGTGGCAATAGTTACGGGTATTTAGGGCCCTAAAAAGTCCAACAACAGTATTTATAGAGAACTCGCTCCGCTCGCTATAATTATTTCAGACATCCTCACAATCCAAAATTTATAAAGTAACTGTATTTCATTAATAAATTGAAAATAGACTTTTATATTATTTGGGGGAAAATAAAATACCTCGCAATTATTGCAGTAGTCGCGGATGACGTATAAAATCTCACATCATCAGTGTCAGGCCCAAATACGAGTTTATTTCACATCTATTCGATCATCACGCGCGATTGGCCCTCGCTGAAATCTTCACCAATCGCAACGCACTCACTGTCGAGAGCGACTTGATTTTAAATAAACTTCCACCAGGCCCTCTGACGGCCAACTCTAGCACCGCGCGTGCTCAATGGATAGATCAAAAAGCGCGCGCTTTCCTGACTTCCCGTCACACACTCATGTTCCTTTGCAGGAAATCTCTCCAAAAGAAAAGCAAGGAAAAATATGTTACACATCAGTAAATAATTCAAAAGTCAATTTAATTTTCATCTTGTTTTAAGATAAGTACGTATATACACATATCAAAGGTTTTTGTCTCTTTCTCTTAGGCAAATTTCCTGTGTTGCGTGTGTTACAACAATTTGTGGATCATACTAAGTGATGTCCCATGTGGGGATCGAACCCACAACACTTAGCGAGGTGACCGCTTAAACCACTCCATCATCATCATCCAACGCCATTCAGCCATGTTTATATTAAATACGTCACAATTCATAGATTGCATAACGCATCTCGAGACAGGCTGGTGTAGTTCAAAGTTTATTACAGAGATAACGTTAATAATACACAGTTCAAACAAACCGGCTTAAAGTGATACATTGGATGGAACAAGAGTTCACGACACAGTGGCGCACATATTGAGGAATTCTTGGTTTTATTTCATTAGATAAAACTATGATTGCCTCAATATGTACACACCCTTGCAACATTGTTACGATAAAACATGTTAATTGTATTGTAGTGTAGTCCGTGTTTTGGCGGATTAATTACTCCCGTGGGTGACTAAGGGAGTAGACTACGTAGGACAACAACACTGCAGAGAGAAGGAAAACTTGAAACAAACCCTAAACCAACCCGTCTGGCCAGCGCAATATAGTAGGACAAAACCTCCCTTCTAAGGGGAGACCTATGTTCAACAGTGGACTACTAAATTCTTCCCGCAGGGGATTTGAGCAGGGGATCCTAGTGGACGGAGGCCTATTGATGATGATTATCTAGTAGTGTAATACTATCTCCGTTACATTTTCTTTATGTTGTTAGGGGGCAAACACACCTTCCCACACGGGGGGGGGGGGGTCGTCTACTCGTCTGTAGATGACCCGAGGTATGTCGGGGCACCAGGGACTTCCTTTCTAGGGTATACCTGGTTCCCCGGCTATTAGTACCCGGCGACGGCATGCGGTTTTAGTCGGTTCGAGTCCGACATGCCACCGACAGGTGGTATCCGAGGGGATTTCCGCACGGAAAAAAAAAAAAAAAAAAAAGGGGGCAAACACACCTGATAGTAAGTGACACCTGCCACTCAAGAGATACAAGTGTGTTTCTATTCCGCCCCTCCCCCAAAAATCTGGGGGGTATGTGCCCTGTTCCCCACTCCATCAGTGAAAAGCAAGCAAGAAGTTGCTTAACACCTGTTTTCTGTCAAGCCTTGATACCACTCCCGTCGAGTTTACTCATGTGTGACAAAGCAAGACTCTTAATCAAGTTTTTGTTCTGGCTTAGTCAGTGCAGGGTCGGATTAACCATGTGGCAGAGTAGGCAACTGCC